TTTCCCTACTTCCTCCTTATTCTTCATCCAACAATTTATAGTTAATCATAAAAATGTGAAATAAAGAGTATGAAATAAAAATAATAGCATAGTAGTATCAAGATAATAAAGATATTATCACAATATTGATAAAGAGCATATTAAAAAATTTAAAAAGCAATATGAAAATCCTAGCTTACCAAAACGACGTATGGGAAGAGAGCAGTGAAATAGACAACCTTTCCTGAACTTTGAACACCTTTGCTCAGACAGAGGAAGACGATAATCCACGCTAGCAGGAGATTCACTGCCATCGCGCGTCGAATGGAGCTTGTATCCTCGATACCACTACTTATCCCCAATACGTGATTACTGCATAACATATGATTAAACTCATAAAATTAAAGTAATTTATTTCGAAATTAATAATCTATTTTTATTCATTCTTTGCTATTGTTGTCATTCGTATATTGTTATACCAATAGAATAATATAAAAAAAAATCTTTTTTAGTTTAAAATGAAATTTAATAACTATAAAATAGCTATGAATAACTATAAGTAACTATGACATTTAATAACTACAAAATAGTACTACTATTACTATAATGTAGAGCAGTAATATTCGTTAATATTCCTACTTGAAGTATTCCTCAGCTGGTGGTCTTCTAATGGCGTTAGTGATGTTTTCGATAGTCAGGCTCATAGAGGCCATCTGTGTGGAATTTAAACACCTCCCTTTGTAATAGCTCATGTTTTGAGACATGCACGCTTTGGCAGCTTCTGGCATGAAGCAATCTTCCGTGCTCCATTCCGGGTCGCACTTGCTCCAAGGCAGATTACCAGCTCCTACACGCATAATGTTTCTCTCATCAGGTAAGAAATATGCTGTGAACTATTTTTATCTGTTAATTTTCAGAAAGCAGAATTTTGCTTCTTCGTTTTTAAGTGAAAGGCATATACTGGTAAACGAATAAAGCAAAGACTGGAGTATATGGAAATACGGAAAAATATAATCAATACCAAGTCATATGGTAATTATTGATAAATGGAGAAAATGGATTTACCCATATTGATTTATCTAAGAGTTTCGTTTCTGCACTATTAGATTCATTAAATATTGACTGTTATTCCGTAACTAAGAAAGTGTTAAGAAATTATATAGTTACTAATTGAATATCCTTATTGGATTGCAAATTCCTAAGATTCGAATTTCATGAAACGAACAAATTATTTTCTTTTATCATTTAAATCCTTCATCATATTCCTATTATATGACTATCTACAATTATCCTGAGCCTATATTTTTCTGGTATTTATATTTACTTAAAATATCACAGCTTCAACTCTTAACTCAATACCCCAAATATGAAATATCGATGTCCAATATATTCAGCTTTCAAAGTGCTTGTCTAATTTTCAAGAACATATAACAGTCCACATTCCGTAAGATTACAATATTTATATATTATATCCTGTATTTTATATTCCATTTTATATTTCTATACTACTATAATATTTATATATTCTCCGCTACTGTGCTATCTTTAGTATCATACATAGCAACATACTTGCATATCAGATTTCCCTATTACACGATCAAACACGAAGCACCTACTACATAACTTCGCATCGTCCTAACTTCGAAATAACCATCTACCATTTTGTAGCGTACAAACCCTATATGTATCTCGACGTTAAAACAACCTAAACTCTTAAACTATCTCTTCCTACCCTTTCCTAAACTTGCTACAACAGGACGTAGGAAGGAAAATTCGCAAGAAACGCTGCGAAACCCAGATACTCGACGACACTCGAAACGTAGTAACCTACACTCAGACAGATCAATAATTCACGCTTCGTGATGCCGTGTTTTCGCGTTCATAACGCGTTTTACTCCTGCGACAAAACAAGGAAAAAAGATGAAAAAAAAATGAGAAGGAACAGAGAAATGATAACTCATGTATGATAGCTTACCCGCCACTGAGACAAAGATGTAATAAAGGGTCCAGGCGATGATCAGGTTGTAATAGAGCATCACCACGGAGCTGACCAACACCATTCCATATCCCAAGCCGCGCAGGAGGGGGCAGAAGCGTTCGTAAGCTGCCACTGGGCCAAGGCTCGCGTACTGCCCTGGGGGAGAGAATATTGCAAAAGAGGAAGGAAAAAAAAAAAGCGGCTAAAGAAACCGATCGATAAGCCATCTGTGCCAGGCTGACGGTGCACCTGCAATTTACACGGAGTATCGAATCGCGGTACAGGGGTCGATATCACGAACGGTTCACCGGGCGTTTAAAAATAATGTTACGTAAGCCTGGTAACGAGGAACGATCGTTCATTGATCGTTCTATTTTGGTGAATCAACAAGCGTAGACAGGTTTGACCTTGAAAAGCCACACGACACGATGATAAGAACAAGCTTTGCATTCTTACACCATAGCAGAGTTTATTTCCGTATGATTTAAAACGTCATGTGCTTTCGTATCGTGTCGTAATAACGTAGTTCCGGCGTTTCTGTTTCCAGCCTACTTTGTTTCCCTTGTCGATAACGAGGCGGCGTTAATGTTCACGTTCGAGGTTATGCGCGGAAAGTGGAATATAAATATTAAAGTTTTTCCTTCGTTCGTGTTTATTTCTCTTCTCCTTTTCCTCTATTTCGTTTCCCTTGTACAAGGAAAGCATCGTAACTTCCAACTTTGCTTGCTTCCTTGGAAAGTTTCGACGAGAATTCCACTGATATCTGCCGCTTAATCGGTAACTGTTTCGAAGGATAACCTTCTAGGTGTTCGGAAGCACCACTGGCTAGCGAGAATCACGGAACGATGAATTATACAAGAAAAATGGTTTAAAATAGAACTACCCGATTCGTATTATCAATCTTCGTGGGACTAAAATAACATGTTCGCGTGTTCGCTTGGAAATCTACATTGGTCTGGTCGGATCGATTATGGAAATAACGGCGGTTCCTTTATGTTATTTCCTAGAATTTGTTGCGAAACAGTTTCTTTCCTATTTGTTTATATTACGTGCATATAGTGTCTCACATTTTTATTCTTAATATTGCTTGTTCAAGAAATATCGTAGTAAGAATATAAAAGAATTTGAATTCGGAATTCTCCCATTTCGTAATTAAGAATACGAGGTTAATGACATTTACACTACCATTTACTATTATTTGCTGTAGGTGTATGACTTTTGTAATAGTGATTTACGATTGTTATGGAAAGTACATCGTGATCAATTGTTTTACTCTTAATGATCAATCATTAACACCACTCAATAAGTACATTAACATAAAGGCATAGATTATTTTATAATTAGTATGTATTTATTTCAAAATTATACCATTAAAATTTGGAAAATTGCAGTATTGAATCATCACGTTCTTTATTATAGCACCATTTGAAATAAATTTGTTAAAGGATATCAAGCAGATCTGTCACTTTGGAATCATAACCTATAATTATTTCTGCTCTACATTGTAAACAATCGCCACAAAAGTAAAACAATGAATCACAGTTTAAATTCATTACATAATACTAAACACGTCGACAAAGCAAATCACATCAAAGAAACATTTCATGTATCGACGAAAAGGATTACTTTGCTTACCTAAGGAAAGCTCCATGAACATGAGGGGCAATCCAGCGATAATGAGCATCACCGTGAACGGTATTAGAAAAGCACCACCTCCGTTCGAGTAGCAGAGATATGGGAACCGCCAAACATTGCCAAGGCCGACGCTGTATCCCAGAAGGGACAACAGAAAGTCGAATTTCCCTGTCCATGTACCGCGTTCCGGGTGTTCGTCCTCGCCGGCCTGCAACGGTGCTTGGCTGTTCGCCACCGAATACTTGTCTTCGTTCTGCTACAAAGAGTACATTGAATCCGTTATTTCTGTCCTCCTATTACTAACCTATAGAAACGGTTCGTTCGTGGTAAGATCGGTGTTCCGTCGGTAAAAAATACGAATCAAATTTACGAATGTCGCGAGTTTCTGGTCAGTGGTTCTCAACTTTGATTTTAATCCTTGACAAAATTTTCGATGTAGATAAATGTAGAAAAAATGTCAAAATTTTGGTTAACCTATTTTTACTAATTTATTAATTCTTATTACCGATTACGCGATGAATTTAAAAGAAATATGATATTACACGTGTTCTATAATTAAATTGAAGTTACGCGAGGTGCAACGCATTATGTAATAAATACAGAACACAAATGTATATCTTCCGAGCACCACTTCCGAAATGATAAAGAATTAAAGAAACTGGCGAGTCGCGAGACACCGACAGAGTACTTAACTTCATTCATGGTGGAAGAGAAATGTAACGACGTTATGCATCGAATTAGGTCAGACCGTGGCGTTGGGATGACGCTCCATGTATTTTCCTTTAACTCGTATTAACTTTAAAAATCCCGTTGAAATATTCCCGCGTTCGTCTCCCAGAAATCATAACTGTATTTCTCATTTTCGCACTATCTTTATTACCCGTGAGATTTCATCGAAATATCGTCGATATTTGAGAACCACTGCTCCGTGTCAAGGAAAGACATCGGGAATTTTCGTCCATTATTTTTTCAGACATCGGTAGCTCCCCAATGGTCGTGGCTCGACATGTGTAACGACGTCTCGCGTAAACGAACCACGAGAAAGAATGAAATCGCGAATTCAGCGAAGTTTCCTCTCTCAGAGAGACGGAAATGCTAATGACCATTGGGAAATCAGCGCTAACAAATTACTTCGATGTTTCGTTTCATCGTGCAACATCTAATTCTCACGCCGTCTTGTATGTTGCACACCCGACACGGATGACAGTCGGGTAGCCGCTTTGTGGGGTACGCGTGTCAAGTGCAACGTGGTTCCAATGATTTACGTTCTGCACGGGAGTGACTGCGCGTGCAGTGCGTGAAAGCGTGGAGAACTTTCGCGATATTAATAGCTCCTGATCGTCAACAAAGAACGTGACAAGTGCTTTTTTTACTTAATTATAATAAAGATCGTTGAATATACATAGTAATATGAATTTTCTGGTCAATGAAATAATATTTTAACCACTATTGCATTTTGTTACGAATTAAATAATATTTTGGAAATGCCATGGTTGTATTTAAGAAATGATTATTATTAATGTCAAACGAGGCGTATTTTCACGAAATCATTTACACTGAAGTTGTTAATGAGACTGAATCTTCGTATTCGCGGTAGTTCATATTATATGTAATTAATCCTTTTATTTATTCAATATCTCTGGCTGACCTTCGCGCGAGTACTTTCGAAAACCGACGACGAGCGTGCTTGGAATTGATTTCCCGGAAAAATGAGGAGCATTTCCGACCGAGATGACCCGCGTTCCGGTAAAATTGCAATAAATGTTCGCCGGGATGTCTTGAAATTGTTAGTAGGTCGTGATAAATCATAAATTCGCCAAGCTGATATTAAACGACGCGTGATATTGAAAACGAACGGATATTTACATCGCGTGTGTCGCATGTATGCACATATACGTGTGATCCTCGATAATATTTGTGCTTTTTTCATCTCATCGTGTTATTGGTTGCTCGAAAAAAATTTGCCAATCGAGAGAAAACATCGAAAGCGATCGAAAGCGAATGCTTCTATCACTAATGCACCAACCAGCAGTGTGTATGCACTTAATTATTTGGGACTGCATACCTTGCCTTTAAATTCCATTTAACAGGATCTCTTGAACATTCTCTCTTTCCTACGTCTCTGTGTACATCATTTAATGAATTAGTAAGACACACTTCACCACTCGTTCGTTCGTGAACTATTTTTATATCATCTTTTTTTCTTTTTTCTTAACGCGGCATTTTAATGGATCACCTTGACATCGCAGGTTTCATTGCAACATTAATTTAACTAATGCAAACATACACGCTGTGCGAGTCATTTACTTTAATTATCAAAATAGGGAATTCATGGTAACCTACGCCCTATATTTTTATATCTCATTTTGCTTGATCATTACAGTTACTATACAATATTAGAACGCTAGGAAGACCATTTAAGATGATTGTTACTTCTTAGATTGCATATTCAAATAAAGAAGAATATAAATTCAATTACCTACAATGTCCTTTTTTTTTATATTATAAACCAAATTTTTTGTTGTATGCTTGGTTAATATTTCTCACAAGTGTTCACTTTTGTCAGTGTATTACTTCTTCAAGCTCTAATTACTTGGCTTAATCGTTAGCAATTAACGTTTAATTATCAAGAATTTCGTGTATACTCTAACCCAAGTCTTTAACAGCTTTAATTGACTATTTCTTTGCTGAGGTTTCTGTTTATTTACACCCGGTGTAATTATGAAGGAAAAATACAGTACAAGAAACGCAATTTTCTTCCACAGTTCAAAGATTGTTTCTAAAATGTTCTTCCTTTCTCAAATAATATTGATAAATTATGTCAAGTACGTGTCACTTCACCCTCTCATATCTACATTAAAAATCATATCCACCATTTTAGTTTCTATAATACACTTCTTAAAGTACTTTTGACTTTCTCCTAATATTAATCACGAGAAATTTCTTCTCCCTAATTCATCGCAAGAATTGCTCTACTGAAACTTATTACTATTATTCCTATTTCAAGAGCATCACCGTTACAATCGCAAGAAGGGGAAAATGGAGAAGAAAGACACAAAAGAAATTTGCAACAAGAATAGCCAACTAACCGCCAGTCCAAACAGACTTTAATCAGTTCGAACGTTTCGAGAGGAAGAAAAGGTTCTCGCGTTGAGGAATCGGGAAGCCCTGTTCTTCTCGTTAATTAATCCCCCTTGCTCAAAGCCCATTACGAAAAGGGGTAACAATTAATTCGCGAAGGAGATCGTTTGGGGGAGAGATTTCCATTCAGCGGCCGTTCGTTTGTCCGGCCGGCGTAATTGACGTTCGCATTAAGGTCGCGCCTTGATCCGCTCGGCGTTTCACGAATTCGCGCGGCCCTGTTCGTTAAAAACGTTTGCCTTGGTGCTCGAGAACATTTGGTTTTCGCGAATCGATTAAAGCCCGAGGAGCCCATTCAAGGAAATTTCATTTTCGAGATGGATTCCAGCTCTCAGGGAGGCGCTGGCCATCGATTTACCCTCGAGCAGCGTTCCCCTCTCAAGAACATCAGCTTGATATTCCCCTGGATCCGAGTGAAAATCCTAAACCCCGAGTCTTCGTTGCGACCAAATGTCAAGCATCGACGTCGCGACCGAATTCCTCGCGTTTCGCGCTTCGATGAATCGAATCGAATGGCTTTCGTCGCTACTTTTCTGAATACTTCCACTTTTATCGTGGAATATGTTACGATAGAACTATGCAGCTTTGCGTGTATTCCGTGGATATTGGATACATGGACGAGTAGAACCGAATTGGCAATGACGAGTGTGTATCTTGAGCTTTTGACTGGTTAACATTGAGATGGACAATCTTTGGGGTTTCCGTTTTAGTTGGAAATTAAACTGGGGGAAGTTAATCCCTGGTGATGAATGCCTGTTCGGTATATGGTGAGGTATATGGAAGATGCTAGTTTAATTACGATGAGTTAGCAACAATGCAGTAACGAGTAGTTAGAGCAGAATATAGGTTCGATGTTAATGTTAAGTTATTGAAAGAATCTTCTTCCTGAATTTTTACAGAGATTAATTTAAAATATTTAGTAGAAGAAACAGTTACTGCTAAAGAAACAAAACTGCGTGAAATAAAATTGTATTGATAGTTATTAAACCCTCAAAACTGCCAAAAGCTTCATTGATAAACAAATAAGGTCGAAAACTAACAAAAATAAATTTAAAGAGACTAAGAGGACAAGATTAAAATTATCTAATTTTCTATACATCCATGATAAAAAAAATAAAAGATTGAATCTTTCGAGCAGAAATTTAAGCACAACCATTTTAAAAATACTCTTAAATATTCTCTAGCTAATCCAAAACATTTTTCACGAATTTATCGCAGACCAGAACTTGCCTCGACTATACACGACTATACAAAAGGAATGATTAAAAGCTATCTCATTCTCTGCACGAAGAAAAACAAACTCTGTAAACTTAACACGTTACAATGAAGAGGAACCACACGGGTTCTTAGCAACAAAGCGGATGGTAGGGCAATTCAACAGTAAACTATGTAGCGTCTGCGAAACGATGCAATTTTAAAGAGAAAATAGCGAAGAACCAGGGAACAATGGTGTTCATGTGGCTGTGCAAGTGTTGTATAGAACGAGGGGTTGCATCCTGAACGATCGCTCGAGCGAGAATGCTTCGTGCTTTCCTAGTGTGCGCGCGCAATTTCCATAATTCGAGTTTAAATCCGGAAAAAGTCCCGACAATTGCATTCTTCGAGCAAGCTTTGAGCCGTCGTTTTTTTCTTCTTTGTTTCGAGATCTTGATCGTCGTTTAACCTCCGCTCGAGAACATTTGCTACCTCCTCGTTGAATTTTTTCGGCGTATTTTAATGAAAGGCGGAAAGAAAAAGAAAAAAGGAAAATGAGATGATTTATAAAAATATCGAATCGAATTCTATCTCGATCGAATTAGATCAATTTATATCTGATTATACGACTAAGTGGAAAGTTCACTTACGTCCCAGCATTCCAGATAGGAACGAATCCTTGGTGAGGACTCCTCCATTCTTTAAACTAGCACCGAACGGATCTACGAAGTCAGGCGAATCTTCTCCTCTTCATGCTCTGCGAACGTCTGACAACTCGTGTTGGCGCATCTGTTCTTGATTCACTGGTGTCCATCCTCAATGTATAGGCACATTTGAGCCAAACTGGCTCCCGTTTCTTCGATTTTTCTCCACTCGATGTTCATTCTTCAATTCTTCTTTCCTCTGTTTGCCTTCTAAAACAATCAACAAACAAACGGTGAAAATCATCTCGATTTTACATTACGATTAAATTACCACATAATATAATTTAATTAGTAACGATGCTAATTTCGACTGCATAATTCAATTTATTACAAAATGAAATTAACGTAAAAAAGAAAAATTATATTTTACTTTACACAATTTCCATATCACGCTGCTCTATTCTATTAAAATTATTTTTTTAGATTTGTATTTATAAACTCTATGGTTCTTCCCCGATTCGATCCCACAAGTCTTATCGAATGGATGGCGAATAATAAAAATCAACCTGAACGTCTCGCGAAATGGTCACGCCGCTAAACAATATCTATTCGCGCCCTAATTGCTGTTATCAAGTTCACACCAGATACATAGTCACGCAATAACGTAGTTACTCCTTCCAATGCTAGCCGCTTTGTAGCTGACAGTCCGGGTCACGCCGTATTTCTACCCCGCCCACTATTTCCATCATTCCCTTTTCTCGCCGTTAATTGCGGAACTCGAGCAACGATAGCTTCGATCTCGCGGAAATATCCTTTATACCTCGATAAATAACGGCCACGCGGAATTAACATCCTTTCTAGTGTCAGTTCGCGACCTTCGTGATGAGGAGCATCGGTAGTCGTTGGTTTCGAGGGCTGTTGACGAAAACATGATTATTCGACCTAATAGGAATCGTCAAGTATCCCGTCGAATGATTGTAATTACACTGCGAATGTCGACCAGACCCTTGGTTCATATCGACAGAAGAAGCGCAATATCGACATTTATGAGAATACGATTACGAAACATTGTTGAATATAAGACGGGTAATATTTCATCGAATATCGTAATTGCACGTTGATTGAAATAATTAGAGGAACGGATATTCGAACGACTGATTTGGCTGATGAGAAGACCGATATCCTGTATAAATTCAGCTCTTGCTGAAAACATTACATATTAAACCCACAAAAGTATTATCTGATGTGAAATAAAAATTAATCTTACCGTTTAAATCGTCCAATTATTTAAATGTATTAATTAGTTCGTTATGCAATGCGCGATTTATATCACAATATAATAATCGTTTTAGGTTAGGGCAGTTTATTGTGCGCACTAATAGATATGACTGAATAGTAGAACTATTCAATAGCATCGCAATTTCGTCCCTAAACAATGCATCGCTCTCTGAATTCCCCCACCACACATCGATTACCTTACAAACTTGTTTGCATAATTTATTCCTATAACATTTTCCCAAAGACGAACAACGACGCTGCGAGCAGCACGTAGTTCTCCTGGAAAACAACGTATGAGCGTCCCCCAAGGCAACTTGGAATGTTCCACTCGAGGGTCACAATACAAAACCTGTCCACGACGCAGAAAGATACAACAGAGGGTGACGCTGTGGCGTGTTGCCTTTCGGAAGACAGCTGTTGACTTTGTTCATGGTAAACTTTTGTCTTTAACCTCTCCGTCGACAGAGGGTTTTACCTCGAGTCCCTCGCTCTACCAAATTTCATATCTTCACTCATTTTTAATTGATGTAACGAAAAACGATTTTGATAACCATTGTATTAATCGTATATATCAAATTTACGTTTCATTTGAAATTTATTATTTTAATTTAAAGATATAGAGTTTATATAATTTAGATGAGAATAATAGCCGAGTACTAACGAAAATATATTAAATATGTATGTATGTAATAACCTCAAAGAAATGAAAATTATTTATGACTGGATTTAATATAAACAAAATGTAAGTTGAATACTAATAAAGGAGTGGTTAGAAGATCCTAATAATCGACAAATTTTCTGCACGAAAATCCAATGAAAAAATCTCATACCCTCTATCGGTGGGTTAAAACGTAACTCGAGCGCGTTTAATGCACGACGTCACTACAGTCACGCTTAAATGTCACCCGGCTGGCTATGGTGGCGGTTCACCAGTACGCTATACACGTACCTTGCCTCACAGTCTTACGTAAACTCGAACTCGATAGTGCATTCTGCCCTCACGAAATCTGTGTCAGTGGAACCTACTCCAAACTGCACGCGAAGCTTCCATACAATCGTATATCATCGCGATCGGGTGACTGATATCTACTGGAATCGAATTTACGCGAAGGGTAGTACAAAATTATGATACCGTTCTAAATGAACATGACATCGAAGTTCACAAATTCACTTCCAAGAACATCTTAAACAACTTTTGAATTATGAATATCGGAACAATAATTTCTTTGCTATATCCAAACTTGATACGTCAGATCAAAATGAGCACAATCGTGGTAACGTTACCAACGGAACGCTCTCCTTCGAAATCACGGAATTTCTGGCACCGTTCTGGCCGGCGAGTCGATCCGTTACGTAACTGCGGTACGAGTGTCGTTCACCGAGTGGCGTGAACGTTTCGGTCCCGGACGAGAGTCAGCCCCTGAAACGGGCGCGCTCGGTCGCACGCACCTGATTATGCTCGGTGACGCAATCCGGTCGGTGCACATCCTCCGCTGGAATTCCACTTGGCCGGTGGTCGATCAGCTGTCGTCGCGGCTGGTAGCGGTACTCGCGCTGCCATCGGGGAACTTGGTGAACCCCGTATCAAGGTCAGAGACACGCACTGTCACTTCTTTTCAAGGTCACATCTATGAAGCGTACCGCGCGTATGTCCACGGCACACAAAATAACACACAGCCAACTGAAACGGATCAGGACCGAGGCTTAAACACGGTTCTTTTTCGTTGTCCCGTTACCACGACGAATACATCGTGATACGCGGTATATCGAAACCGGGGCCAAGACCGAGACCATGTGTGTGATAAGATCGGAGAGACAAGAAGAGCGGAGCGAACATAGACGGAGACTAGACGTGACTAGACGCGACGAGACGAGAGGTGACAAGACGAGGCGAGGCGAAGCGAGACGAGACGAGACGAGACGAGACGAGACGAGACGAGACGAGACGTGGCGAGACGAGGCGAGGCGAGGCGAGGCGAGGCGAGACGAGACGAGACGAGACGAGACGAGACGAGACGAGACGAGACGAAACGAAACGAGACGGACGGACGGACAGACAGTGGAAACGGTCCGTGCCCGGGCAGCCAGCCAGTCAGCCAGCCAGCCTGCCTGCTTATGGGAGAGCTTTTCTACTTGCAGCACCCCCAGTCGACCCTGTCGAGCCTCGAACTCGACGGATCGATCGATATTACTGCTCCTGCGAGCTGCGTCCTACCCTAAACCTTGCACTCTCTCTCCTCGGCCACTTCACCACCTACTCTCCACCACTGGTGCCCACCTTCCCTACGTAGCTATCGTTTACAGCGAAACTCTTTAACTTTCGGAATGCTACTCGACCTTGCGTCGCCACTGTCTCTTTGTGCTCTTTTCCCCTCTTCTTTTTCTCTTCTCTCGCTCTCATTTTTGCGTCGTTCGTGCCGCCATACGGACAGTCGCTCACTGTGCGCACGTGTGCAACGACTGTCTTGTTCTTGATGATGTAATTAGCGGTGTTTGCTCTTTTCATTTGGCTAAGAGGACTCGTGTCTTTCTCGTTTCTTGCAGCCCTCGGCACAGTGCTCAGTTGGTAATTGCTCCTCGCTACTTCAGCGCATCGTTTTCTTAATAGGGATTTCTGGCTTTCCTGCGAGTTCTTCCATCGCTTTTTCCACCCTTTTCTCACTTTTAGCACCATAAGATTTCCTTTCGATACCTTTTCGTTCACTGATGGCAAGCGTTGCTACCTTCTCGTCTATTCTTCCTATCTTCATTGGGATTTTTTATTCAACCCTACTTGCCTTTGAATAGAAAATATAAAGTGTAATTTAATAAAAATGTAGTACTTTAAAAATATTGTTTAATATTAGAACTACTGACCTTTAAAGTGTAGCTGAATATAGTACACATAGGTAATAACAATCAAAGTAGGGTGATAAAAATAAATAGTTACATATAATTATGTTGCTATCTGAATGAAAGTCGATATTAACTTTACCAAAAGTAATTAAACATTTTAAATAACTTCAAAAAGAAAAGCTCTGGAGTCAGTCATTTTGATCTTCTCAATCATTCTTTGAAGTTATCGTTTTAAATAGTTACAAGAAAAAAGAAGTTTTAAGCCAGTCATTTTGATTATTTTAATGACTTCAATGTTGATAAAAAAATTTGGTAAAAAATCCTCGCGTTAAGAGGATTTCAACATTTAATGATCTTCTGAAGTCTCACGTATAATTAAGAACGAGGAGGAGTTAAAAGGTCGCCAATTATCATTTGCGTCCATGAAGAGACAAAAACATGGCGCGTTCGAACAATTGAAAGTCGTTTACCAATAGTTTTTAAGATGAATAAGGAGTTATTGTTCTATATCTTCGTTTCTTACGTCAACCTTCATACACATGCGAACACTTTTCATATTTTCTCTTCACGCCCTCTGCTTCTTATGCTTCCTTTTCATATTTTATGTCTATGTCTGTCGACCTATCTATCTGTTCATCGATCACGCTCTCTCTCCCTCTCTCTCTCCCTCTCTCTTTCTTCTCTTTCTTGTTACCCCTCTCTCGTCTTTTTCTCTCCTTTCATCGTGACGCTACGCGTAATGGAAGTATCACCGTCATCGTGACGCAGGAACGAAATCTGTTGTCCATGTAACAGAGAGCAGGAAAAGCGGGCAACGCTTCATGCAAAGCAATGACATCGACGTTGATACGAATCGAACGTGTTACGATATTTTGTCATGCCATGCATATCGTTCGAATATGCTGAAAAAGAGACACGTAAAGGGAAAAATTTAGGACGGTATTGATGGATTAGAAATGTAGTGCTTTCGTAATGTGAAAAGGTTTCGAAATTGCAATTTTCATCTTCTTTTAGTGTAGACTTCGAGTTCCAATTTTCCACCTTCCCAATTGTTGACAATATTTCAAGCGTTTATTAACGATTTTTTATATTTTCAATTTTTGAAGCATCTCTTTGCATTTGAACTTTTGTCCTGTACTTATGTACAAGATAAAAACTGATGATAATTAATAGCTAAAAATTAAATTATATTATATTTTATTATATTTATTAAATTTTCTGATATACAAATTTTTTATCTAAATACAAAACTTTTGTTTGCATAATTTACATACTCACCTCATTCCATGTAAGAAAACGTTAGTGAAAATAAAAATGGAAATAAATATTTTCAATTTGGAAGTTTAAAAATTCAAAAGAGACTTGCATCCACTTCATACTACGAGATTATCTGGAAAAATAAGGTATATTTACGCTCGCTTGATTCCACAAGAGATTTAAATGAATGTATATAATGGAAAAAAGCTACGTATAAACCACTTAAAATTCAGTAGAGGGTCCTGGACCATTCTCTTTTGCAACATTTATTTAAAATCATTCTTCAGCCACCATGTTCCAACACGTTTTGTTTTCACAGACTAACTGGAGACTTTGATCTATACAAAAACATAGATACCACTTTGTCATATACACATATCGGTTGCATGAAATGAAAAACCAAAAGAAATTGCTACTAATGTGCACTCCTCTTTCAGAGACTCACCTTTTCCTCCGACTTCTTTCTCATCATCGGTTAAAAGCCAGGTATAACTCACTCCGATTCCATGGTTCAGCCTGTACATCATAAAGTTCAACATAAATTTCCAATAAAATAAATTCTTCGATTATTCCAGATGACAGGAAGCTAATAAAATTTTGCGAAATGTCTGAACCATAGTCGAATGTCGTTATTTCAGAAGTACATTTCACATCGCAATAAACCTCATATAAATTACGATACTCGTAACAACTGGTAACAGGCATCCTTTGCTAGATTATGTACCGGGCCTGAAATTTCGATGCGAAGTAACAGATTTCAGGTCTGATTAGGCGATCGATTCGTTCTCTGTATGGAAAATTATTCGAGCACCGTCGAATTACCGAAAGTAATTTGCATGGCCTAGATAACACTCGCCTGTTATCCGCTCGACATGAATGGAAACAGTCACGCAAGTGTTAAATTGGGGGATGAGCAGAACGGGCAGGAGTCCACGTTCTTGCAGTTGCATTGTGAGGGGGTTGCATTGTTTCGAGTCGATGTCGTCCAACGTCGTATCACGAGTTCTTCGTCGTATCAGGTTCTTCTACTTCGTTATGTAAGGATGGAAGATACCATTTGCAACATTCCATGGGACCTAGCGAGAATAACGTTACGTTATTGAAGCAAAGGAAACGGTTAGATAAGCAAAAAAAGTAGCGAAATTTCTTAAAATTAATAATCTTAAAGAAAGTGTAACAGCGGGTTGGTGTTAACGAAATTTTCAAACGATGAAGGAAGACTTGTAATAAGGATATACCGCTTAGGAGTCGATCAAATAAAAACAGTTGACGGAGCCTAGACGGCAAAGTTGGAGAAGGACTCTGCGTTAAACTATAAATTTTATACCGTGGCAAAATGAGGTTGCAGAAGAGTTTTCTTTGACCATATTACGTTGTCCTTTAACGAACATATACTTTTGTAATTTCGTTACACGCGGCTGCTCATCTATGAAAACCGCTGCTGCTGCCTACGCGTTTTGCTTAATATAGAAATCTTGAAAAATAGCATAAAAGACGGTGCATATACTAGACCATGTGCATATACTCAAATTTCAATAGTAAGAAAACACATTTGTTTAAATAAAATAATTTATAGAATTAATAGAATTAATAGTTATTTCTATCAAAAAGAAAAAAAAAAAAAAAATAGTCACCTTAGACTCTCCATGATGAAAATTGAGAACCATACAAAATTCATTACAAGATATCTTCTTTGCAACAGAGTAACTCCCACTTCTATCATTCTTCCGGAATGACATCTTGGAACGAAAGGAGACTAATAATTTGGAAGATAATCGTGTATAATGATTAAAATAGTTCTTTCCCTGCGTCCATTTCCTTAGAACCAAGGAACATCATGAATATAACAACTCCGTATTCACTGTTCCTGGTAAGGACCCTTTCAGACTTGAGAGTCACAATCTCAACTTCTTCAATGATCTTCTTAGGAATATGACATAGAAGGTTCAAAGTTCTTCAGACTAATTAACTCTCATTCAGGTGACGCTCCATTCGTGAGACTCGTAGTAGCCTTCCTTGAAGTCACTGGCAATGAGTGACACGATGATTAATTCAGATTCATTGATTGTTATCGAGGTGATCGTATATTCAGTTTCTGTTAAAAGATATAATAATAGTTCAAATAAGAACTTGACTATTATGAAACCTCTGGGCAAGTAGGGATTCCAGGAATACGGGGATTCTTCGGAGCTTCAGTTTCTTCTTGAGTTTATGACGGTATAAAATGTCCGGAATCCATTAGAATTTCTGAATTTTGAAAATTCTGAGAACCTTAAACTTATAAATCCTATAACAATTTTAAATCCCAGAGATCTAAGAAGTATTAACTATGTTATATTAAACTAGTTGATCTCTGTTTCTAATATCGAATCCAATAAGCCTTGAAAACTTCACAAGATGGTTTCCTGCAGTTTCTAGGATCCAGGACAGTCACGACTGACTTCATGTTTCCAAATTCTCTCATCAAATCCATGTCTCTTCGTCTCAGGCTGTGTTGCCTACAGAGTGTCAGAAAAGGTTTAGAAATGGTACTAAAGCATAAAAATTACGAATTTCTTTTAAATACGTATTTCGCCATCAAGGTAATTAGTGATCATGCTTACTTTTCAAACGATG